TTAGACAGGGTCTTGCTTTGTGGCCCAGGCTGGAGTGCAGTGGCGTTATCTCAGCTCACTGCAACCTCTACCTCCTGGGCTCAAGTAATCCTCACACCTCAGCCTCCCGAGGAGCTGGGACCACAGGTGTGAGCCACAGTGCCCGGGTAACTTTTGTGCTTTTTTTAAGAGATGGGGTTTCACCGTGTTGTCCGAGCTGGTCTTGAACCCCTGAGCTCAAAGCGATCCACCCAGCTTAGCCTCTCGAAGTGCTGGGATTATGGGCCTGAGCCATCGCACCTGACCTAAGAATTTTTTTTATTAGCCGAGCACAGTGGCTTACGCCTGTAATCCCAGCATTTGGGAGGCAGAGGTGGGCAAATCACCTGAGGTCAGGAGTTCGAGATCAGCCTGGGCAACACGGTGAAACCCCGTCTCTACTAAAAATACAAAATTAGCCGGGCGTGATGGCACATGCCTGTAATCCCAGCTACTTGGGAGGCCGAGGCAAGAGAATCACTGAGATCATGCCATTGCACTCCAGCCTGGGCAACAAGAGTAAATCTCCGTCTCACCAAAAAAAAAAAAATAAATAAATAAATAAAAAATAAAAGAAATAAAATTCCTTTTATTCCTCTGTGTATGCTGCACCCCTGTTTGTCCATCCTTGGGCTGAATCTGTCCATCCATGCAATCTTTTTGCTCCTCTATATGGCTGTCTATCTGTTTTGTGCCTGCCCCTGGCTGTCTCTGCCCCTCTTCTGCCCCTCTCTCTGTCTGTCCTAGGCAGTCCATCTGTCCATTCCTACACCCTGCCCCTTCTGTTCCTCTGTGTACCTCTCTGTCCGCTTGGAACCCTCCACCTCATTAATCTCCATATCCCCAACTTCTCTGCTTCCCCCCCAGTCACTCTGCTCCAGCCACCCTGGCCTCTCAGCTGTTCCCCAGATACCCCAGGCTTGATCCCACATCAGGGCCTTTGCACAAGCTGTTCCTACTGCCTGGCTGTTCCCTTCCCCCACATGGTTCCTCTCTCACCTCCTTCAAGTCTTTGCTGAAATGGTGGTACCTTCTCAGTGAGCACCTCCCTGATCACCCCCAGCCCTTCCTCTGCTTTATTTTTCTTCTTAGCATTTAATTCCATCCAGCACTATGTGTGTGCATGTTCTCATGTGTGTGTGTGTGTGTGTGTGTGTGTGTGT